ACGCGCGCTGACAGCGTCGCTGCCGCCGCGAGGGCTGCGGTCCCCCGGGGCGGCTCTTCTCCTGCAGCAAGGCAACGAGGCGTGAGGAGGGCAGGCTGTGTTAGGCGGACAACAAACAAGAAGTTCTTGTGTTAATTCCCTCCCCCCTCTTGCCCCCCAAAATATAGTGTGGATGGGGACAGGGGAAAAGATGATCTGCTTGCAGTAGCGAGGCTTTGGCTGGGAGTACAGCCAGCGGGATGACTGCAGGAAGGGTCAGGAAGACCCATTTATGGAAGTTTAAAAGTCAGATGAACAGCTCATTGCTGCCCAAATCACAAGGGGACTCCTGACGGCTGAGCAGCGTTTTAACAAAGATCCTAAGACGAGGACTGGTTTTGCCTCCTTTGCCAATGCTCATAGGTTTACTAGCTCCATTTTTCCATGGTTCCCAAGGCACCCTCCCTCTCCTGCAAAATGAATTGCCTCCTTCTGGGTAAGTGGGCTGACACACACCAGCTGCCTTCCCTCTTTGGCCGTGGGGCTGGAGAGAAAGCAGAGGGATCCTAAGAAGTAACTGAAACATTTCCTTTCCCCTCTCCACCTCCAGCAAAAATCTGCTTTCTGTCTCAAACAGCAATGTATTACCCTGATCAGCACCATTAAGAAAGGGAGGGGGTCTTTTCCTCTCTGTTATTGATGTTCACTGATAAAGAAAAAGCCAGATCACGCGAGATAAATGCTCAGCAAGGTTCTCCAGACAGGTTAAGACACCCACCTTTTTGCCTTTCCCAGTGCTGAAGCAGATAAACTTGCAGCACTGCATTGATTTCCTTTGCAAGAAGCTGGTCAGGAGGTAACAACACTTGAAGTCAGATCTTCTGCTTCTGAAAATTTATGCCAGACTTGCAAGCAGACAGGAAGCAGTGCCACAGCACCTGGACACCTGTCTGAATGATGGGCTGACTTCATCAGCTTGAGCTACTGCCAGTAAGAATGGGGACCATGTTTTTCTGTTCGTGGCAACTGATGAACGTTTCTCACGCTTCACCTAGCAGTCTGCTTTACATGATGCACAAACATTTAACCTCCCAAAAGACTATGTGGCTATCCCCAGGGCTAATTCTTGGCTTCAGGTGCCTTTTTTTTTTTAAATTTATTAAAAAAAACCCCACATAACAAACCCATAGCTGGTTCCCAGCCATCTTTATCTTGTAACCGTCTCTCACAGGTGGTAAGGGAGTGAAAGCATTGCTGCCTCTTTGCATTATAGTCATATGACTGACCACCTCCAACCAAAGAAACACACTGCTTCAGGGAAAAAAGACAACCTAAAATCAACAAAAAACTACCTTGGAATTAACCTATATCATTGCACTGGAATATCTACTTACTATTTCCCACTCACTTTTTTTTTTTTTTTTTAATAAAGTTTAAGACAGTCTTTCAACTCACAAGAAATACTCCACTGTTGTATGAACAGCAATTCCTACAGGAGGGAAAAAAATGATCTATCTCCTAAAAAGAAGACTGCAAATCCTGAATTTTCTGTGTTCTTAACCTCATCTTGCCTTCTGTGAGGAGGATCATGGAGGTGGGGAGGGACAGGTTTCTGAACCACCAGGCAGTCAGGAGAGGTTTTACCCACCACTACAGCCTCCTTTGTAAAACTCATAGAGATTCTTTTCCTGAAGAGAAAATCAGGACAAGGAATACAACTTAGCAATGGCTGAACAAGTTAGTCAACTGCACAGTTCATATTCTGCTTACAAAGCTAATCACTAGGTCAGAGAGCAATATGTACATTCTTCAACATATAATTTGACACAGTGACCCACATCAAGTCTCTGCAACTATTCTGTCCTGTTCGTGCAGTTATTGCTAGAAAGCACAAATCACAGTTTAAAGCCATACAAATCCAGACATCAAAACAAGGACTGGGGCTAAATTTTGGGCTTTGCAACCATATATTGTTGTATTTCTGCATTACTAAGGCAGCTTCATGATGCAACAGGATACTAGGATCCAAAAAGACCTGTGTACCATGCTGGAAGACCTCATGGGCAGGGACAAGAAGACAACCTCACGGGTTGGGACAAGAAGACAACCAGCACCATTCCTGACTGCCTGGAGCTCACTGTCATCTGCAGCAACGAAGAAAAGAAACTGCAAAGATCACCAGGGAATGGTACCCAGTATCCAGGCTGTGCTTTCGCATAAGGAAACTGCGAGCCCCAGACAGAAAACAAATACAGCCATTCACAAAAAGATAAGAACCTTCTGGCTCCAAAGTATGTCATGACATTTGCCTCATGTTTCCCTGTTTTCCAAACCCTGAAGTTTGGGCACCTCCCGAGCAGTGTGTTGAAGCACACGAGTGCTTCACATGCTACTTTTCTGTATTAGCAAATTGGCAGATACTCAGATGTGCCAAGCATTATAGACCTGAGCAAACTGCACATGCAGTCCTGCTTAACTTGCAAGATCTTTTCATCAATAGCCTGTAGCCTCTTATTTTATTCCAGACACAGCAGTACTGCTTGACTAGACATAACACCTTCTGGGTTGTAAAAAGGAGACAAAAGATACTTCAGCAGAAGATTGAGCCTTCCCTGTACTATTTTAAGGCTGCAGCTGGATAGGCTGCCACAATGGGTTTTAAACTTGCCTTGCTGAGGAAAACCTACCACATTACATCTCAAGGTCCTGGATTTTCATTAGTTTCACGTTACAGGGCTAAGAGAACAAGTCTCTTATAACCACTTCCATAAATAAGCTTGATAGTCTCAAGTCAGAAATGAATACTGGGGGCTGTTATTTGCCCCACCTCTTCTAGTGTCTTCCAAAGGCTGCAGACCACCCACAAGCTGGACACGCGTTACTGAAATCATCTGGTAAGCAACAGGGAGTGGAGAACTGGGGAGGCAAAGTAAGGACTTACCAAGCACAATGACCACAGTCTTCAGGAGGCTCATCATGGTATCCCGATTCCTGCGGGGTCCAGAACTGTGCCTGGACATTCTCATAGTCCTTTGGCGGACGTACCCAAAGATATGAGCGTATAGGACCACCATGACCACAAAAGTGACCAGGTTGAAGATAGCCCAGAAGACCAGGTAGGAGTCACTATAGAGCGGTGCCATGTTGGAGCAGTGAGTGATATCACAAATACAGTTCCATCCGACACTTGGTATGGCGCCCATGATGATGGCCATAGTCCAGATAACAACAATCACGACCACCACTCTGCGGTTGCTCATCCGAGTATGTAGCTGCATTCGGAAAACTGTGATGTGCCGCTCAATAGCAATGGCCAACAAATTGGCTACAGAGGCTGTCAGGCTAGTGTCAATGAGACCCTGGCGGAGAAGCCAGGTGCTTACAGTCAGTCTTCTAGTGTTGGGTCCTGTGTTGAACATTAAGTAAAAGTAGGCCAGCCCTGCAAAAAAGTCTGCAGCAGCTAAGTTGGCCATTAAGTAATAAATAGGAAAGTGGAATCGGCGGTTGACATAAATAGCCACCATAACCAAGAGGTTGGCCAGCATTATGAAGATGCAGACGGTAATCCCCAGTCCCATTACAAGCTTGCTGACAGTGTTCCATTCAGTGGCTAGATATTTTCCACTTCGGTTATAAAAGAAGGCAATGGTTTCATTGTAGTAGCACTGTGGTTCGCTCATAGCTGTGGACTGAAAGAAGAGGGGGGGGGGGGAAGAAACAAAAGAATGCAATCAGAACTGAAAACATATGTATGCCCCCACGGACAAGACATGCAGAGAGCAGGGAGGGGGAGATGAAGGGAACATGCTTCAGAACAAATTTATTTTTTCAGACCAAATGGCATTCCACAACTCGCAAACAATTGTTCTGAGGAGTCTAGTAACAGCAATCAGATTAGAAGCAACCAGAAATGCTTCCATCTGCTGTGGGAGCTAGCACGATTTCTGGCACAGTTGTAAATTGCATAGGAAATGAACTTCTGGCCAGGCAGACCTGCTGAAAAATTCACTTCGAGAGAAGGGCAAGCACTTTTTAATTAAGAAAAGCTAACTTTGTTACAGGACATGTTCTTTATATTATCAGTGGGCAAAAGTGTTGTTTGGCTGTAACTGTTCAAAGAAGAGCTCCTCAAAGGGGAGGAAAAATGGATTATATTTCCCAGCAAGTTTCAACTCATTCAGATCTCAATCAGTGGCATTCTGTCTTGTCCTGTCTTACAAACTGGGGAGAACAATCTAAATTAAGATAATCAATATGCTTTAAGACTGGATTGTGAGGGTCAGGGGCTATGTCTGTCCATAAAGCGTGAAGTGCATTTATAAACAATAAAAGAGGCAGGCCACTATATCCTTAGGACCATCCTTTTTCCAGAAGCCACATTTCTATACAGGGTTTGAAATATACCATGCTTTTAAGTATATCTTGTCTAAGCTGGCTTATTCCGGTTTGAAGTAGAGGGTGTGAGGCAAGAAACAGTAAATGGACTCAAGCAAAAATAGAAACTGAAAAAGATTTCCTCAGAATTGCCCAGAGCTATTTCTGCCTCTTTTCATTTGCCTCTGTTTGTCAATATAATTAAGCTAACTCCAGTAAAGCAATATACAAAACTTTCCACCTATATCCCAAATGCATTGCATGACAGATTTATGTCAAAGGAAAAGGTCTTTTTAGAATTGTTTTACCTTGAACCTAGACATCGATCAGAAGTATTTGCAGACCCAGGATAATAAAACCCTTAAGAAAAAAGCATTTCTCAGCACAGTGACTATAAAAGTTTTATTGTTCCTCTAGGATACATCAACTCTTAGGTTAGAAACCTTTCAGCCTTAATTATTTTAGAATTTTTAAAAGTTCTCATGTAGGATCTCTCTGTTGCATAAAAAAAGTTATTTATAAGGGAAACTTAACAAAGGGAGACCTAGCTACAGGACATCTGGCTTTAATTCTTTAGTTAAAGACCGTGTGGTAATAACAGGTCAAGTATAAGAAGCCTTGAGGGAGAGAGGAAGTCATACGAATGAATTAGTGGCCCTTCTAAAAGCTTGCCAACATCTGCATTAATTGTGTGAATGCCCTGTTTTTTTTGCTGTCTGTAGGAATATCTGGCTGCAGTCTTACAGTCTGAAGTACAGAGGAGGTCAGGATTCCAGGATCTAGTGGACTTTTGTGATCTTGAATAAATTCTCTCTTTGTCCATACATTTGTCGACCTAAATTTTTTTTTCAGATGGCTGCTGCATATATGTAACAATTCCTGCTCCACTGCTGCTCTTCTGGGGAGAAGCTACACCTGGCAGAGCACATATTCTTAATTCAGGAGTTTAAAATGTAGTAGGGATCACTTTTTTTTTTTTTTTTTTTATGGCTTTGTTTTGTTCATTGGCTCAGAATGTGAATTATCCCAGCTCTGTAATATCCTCCCCAACCCTTTTCGTATGAACTCTGAAACAGGATATGATAATTATTCACAAAATGCCAAGCCAGGGCTGAATGTATGCAACACACACGAGAGTATGTAAAACACTACAGAACCAGACTTGTTAAATTTAAAAGCATGACAGTACTTGAGCAATCTCAGGGGAATAGCATGAGGCTCACTGGCGTCTTCTCCCATTTTGAAAACACAGAAACAAAATGCTGTGTTCGCATAAGGGATTTTGGAGAAGTTTAGTTTTTAGGGCATTACAAAGGGTAATGATTTTAAGCAAGAAAAGGGTAGATATCAGTTAGACATTAGGAAAAAAGTTATTTAAAATGAGGGTGGTTGATCACAGGAACAGGTTACCCAGAGAGGTGGTGGAGGCCCCATCCCTAGAGACATTCAAGATCAGGCTGGATAGAGCCCTGAGCAACCTGACCTAATTAGTTGAGATGTCCCTGCTTTTTGCAGGGGAGTTGGACTGGATGGCCTTTAGAGGTCCCTTCTAACCCAATATATTCTATCATCTAAAACCTAGGATCTCCTTTAAAATTTTTCAGCCCCAAGGG